TAGCTTGGCCAGTCTTACAAAAAATTTGGGTGATAACCACCCAATAACAAGCCAATATTTCAAAAAATTAAGTTATATAGAAGAGCAATTAGCATTAGTATATCGCAAAGGAGTTCATTCCTATGACTATATTGATTCTCAGTATAGGTTTCAGGAGACAGAACTTCCTCTCATTCATGAATTTTATAATACTCTTAAAGGTAAGATCTCACAAGATGACTACAAACACGCTCAGAAAGTATGGAAAGAATTCGAATATAAAAATCTAGGTGAATATCATGATCTCTATCTTAAAACTGACGTACTTAGTCTAGCAGATATCTGGACAGAGTTTCAAAAAATGTCTATAGAATATTATGAACTTGATCCTAATCACTATGTTTCTGCCCCATCACTATTCTGGGATGGAATGCTTAAGATATCAGGAGTTATGATTGAACTTTTTACAATATAGCTATGCATGATTTTATCAAAAAAGCTAAACATGGTGGTATATCTATGGCCTGTCAACAATATTTTAAGGCCAATAATCCCAAGATGGGAGAAGCCTATGACCTATCCTAATCAACTACATATATCTCATATGTGAATGCAACAAATCTTATGAACATTCTATGAGCCAATATTTGCCTATCAGAAATTATCAATAGGAAGCTAGTTGGGAATATTTACTAAAAAATCCAGCTATACAGAAGAAATATCTTGAAAAGATTCTCAATACACAATCTGATGCTAAACGAGGGTATTTCTTAAAAGTTAATTCACATTTTCCTCTAAAGACTTATGAATATTTAAAAGACTTGCCTCCAGCTATGGAAAATGTCATTGTAGAAAAAAATTGGTTATGTCTTTATAATGCTAAACTTGTAGAACAATTAGATGGTGAACGTTTCTCTGCCACAGAAAAATTAGTTCCCCATCTTAGATCACGAAAAAACTATGTCATTCATTACCTGAAACTTCAATACTATGTGGAATTAGGTATGGTTGTAGATGAAGTTTCAGAGATACTCTCCTTTGACCAGACTAACTGGCTTAAACCATATATATCTTTTAATACTGAGAAACATAATGAGGCTAAAAAAGCTGGAAATATATTCATTCCTGAGTGACTTTTTCAAACTTATGAATGTATCAGTATATGACAAGACTATGGAGAATGTTCGCAAGTATCAGGATGTTAAAATTATGAAGAATAATAATGAGCGAGATGAAAAAGTTTTCTTGAATAAGGTCCATGCCATCTTTCAAGTATGGCAGACCACTTGGACCTACATTAGTAGAAGCGCATATGGGAAAGGCCAGTGTGACTCTTAATAAACCTATTATAGTCAGAGCATCTGTTTTAGGACTTAGCAAGCTTAACATGTATAAATTCTGGTATGGTTATTTGAAGGAAAAATATGGGATGATGTTGAACTTGGCTATATAGATATAGACTCTTACTTCTTCAAAACCAAGACTAAAGATATCTATAAAGATATGTCTGAGCGACCTGATCTCTTTAATCTTAATGGAGATCAAACAGTTGGCAAATATAAGGACAAGACTCCTAGTAATGTGATTTCAATGTCTACACATATTCAGGCAAAATTATATCACTATGTTTTAGCTGATAAGTCTACAAATTCTAGACATAAAGGGGCTAATAAAAAAGGTATGAGTGAGATGGCTACAGATATATATATGTCAACTTTAGAAGAATCATTGCTTGATGATCCAATAGATAAGTCATTATTATCAGAACAAAAAGCTAAAGATTTAACTATGCGAACTAAGGCAGATTCTATGACTTTAATATATCTGAATTGTCTCTTTGGGAAGGTATTCTATGCTAAAAATATGGGTATTTGATCAAAGGATCACATATTATCTCTAGTCGAGTCAGAGAAAAAAGCATTATGTTCCATAGATACTAAACGCTGGATCCTATCAGATGGGATAACTATTTTACCATATAGGCATTAGCGTAATATGATTTATAAGAATATGATCAAAGATGGTATCTCTTATGAAGTGGCCGAAAAAAGAGCTATAAGGGCCAAGCTTCTAGAGAAGTATTAAAATGAATGTGTATCTCACATATCTAGCTCATCCCAATAAGCTACTAGTAAAAGAAGAGATCTAGCGTGGTTGAGCGACAAGACGCTCAGGAGTATTATTATTATATATTTTTTTTCTTGTATAATAAATATTTGATT